GAAGAGCNACATGAATAAAGATATCTTCTTCAGGCTCTTCAATGGTACGAAGTTCTTGGTAATGGAAGGAACTGATATGCGCTCTAACCTGATTCTCTTTAGATTTGATAATGAACCCAGAAGATCAAAATTATTCAAACCAGTAGGTAAGAAACCATAGTTTGTGACTATTAAAACCTTCAAGTTACCAATTTTCTCCACAAATTCAGGCAAGGCATTGTTCTCTGTCTTAAAATTCAAAACTAGAACCTCAACTTGTGGTACATGAACGCTCTGCCATTCTCCTGAGAACATTCCATCTGCAAACAATTTTCTATGACATATGAGTATGAGAAGAGTTTAAACTAAAGTCCTATTCAAATATTAGCAAGTGTGTGTGCATGCGCATGTTCGTTTTGACGTATGTGTGTGCTTACATGTGTGCAGAGAGTTTAAATGAAAGTGCAATTAGTGTGTGTGTGTGTGTGTGTCACTGTGTGCACGCGCGAGTGCTTATGTCCATGTGTGTGTTTACGAGTGCTGGTCATAGGTACATGTGCAGATGTGCTCGTATATGCATTTTCTACAGAGAGAGATGGGACAACCAGAGGAGATAGATAAGAGGCGAGCATTGATGGGTTGGGACTTCTGTTCCGTCAACCACTTGGGTTGATTGTGTCCACTTACGACAATCAGTCTTTTTCTATCTTCTATTGGGTCTAGTTTCGCATTGTAGATAGCCAGCTGTCGAAGCATATCGTGTTGACTAACAAAGTGTTCGATGTAGTAGTCATCCGCAATCTCTATATTCTCCTTCCTGGAACAATCCAAAGTTCCAAACTCAGTCAGTTAAAAAAGATTTCAATAAGAATATTTCATAACAGAAACATAGAAGCTTGAGTACCTAGTGATGACAAGATTTGCGAGACCTCTGGTGGTGAGCTCAAGGAGGTTCTTAATGCAGAGAAAGTCGTCATCTAGCTTATATAGCTCTATCCACATATCAATGAAAGCAGCAGCAGGGATTCTTTGGTCCTCGGGAAATGAGCCAAGGTCCATGAAGCATTCTTTGATGACAGCCTCTTTTTCTTCCAAGTCATCTATGCTACTTTGAAGCCGTAGAAGCAACTCAGTCTCAGAATCAAGAATCGAACTTTTAGACCATTCAGTTAGTCTAGAACGCCAGAATTCTGTAGCTTGTCCACGAAGCGATTTTCCGGTCACTGTAATGGCAAGGGGAACTCCCTTACAGTGCTTGAGTATCTGCAGGTTTGTTGTTGCAAATGAAGTCAATTACTATCTGAGTTGCAGACCGAAATATCAAGTTTCTTTTAACATCTCAATGGTTTCATGAAGATGAGAAAATGGTTAATGACTATCTACTTATCTTCCTTCTTATTTTAGTTTTAGTTCCAAGTAACATCGTACGTAAATGGTCGTTTGCAGGTTGATATGGTAAAATGGGTGTTCCCTTCTGTATGTGTCTAAGACCAAAACAATTTATTTTCCCTAATTTGATTCCCCTTTAATTTGTGAGGCATCTGTAAGTATGGATGTTGTGATTGCAAAGTAAGAAATGAACCTTTCTCAGAAGATCTTCTGGAACAGACAAGCTATCTCCCAGGGATGCTGAATGACGCAAAAGAGTCATTGAATCTTCATCATTCAAAGCTTTGAGATTATACGGAGTGCCAAATCCTGGAAATTCAGATCTCGATGTCACCAGGATCTTGTAATTTGGCAATTCCAATTCATCAAACTTCTGAAGAAGGGATTTGGATTTCAACCAAACATCATCCAGGACCAACAGTAGCGGATTCCGTCCTGTTTCCTGAGACTTCATGCGTTGATATAGCTCTTGCACAACATCTAAGTTGGGGTCTTTCGAAACAGTGACAAAGAAGATATTTTCCTTGAATTTATCTATCAAAATACAATACAAGAAATATGTTACATACATGTGAAAACAATGAAACATACACGATGGGAATGTTGAGGTAGAAAAATTAAATCTTGATCTCAACTGCAGCCCTAGTATATGCGAAGAGTAGGAAACGGGTGAATCAATTTTCTTTATAGAATCTATTCCAATCATAAGGTTAATGTAGTAAATGCTTGGTTACTCTTGACAAGTAAAAACTCCTATCAATGAGAATTATCTCTGTAAGACTCAGATAGGAACTGTATATCAGCAACGGGAACGATTCTTTATTGATATATGCATGAGTGAGACTAAGATATCCAAGATACACCACATATTAGTCATGGCAAAAAGATAGCGTGAATTTTGGAACCATATATCCAGTAAGACATACTATTCAAGCAATTGATATATTACAACAATTGTGGATTAACTATGATGTTATATAAGTTTATATATCTGCAGCTGGGTTTGATTTGGATATCAGTAGGTGTTAACTCTCATACAAAAGGCTTCAACTCTACGAACGACATCTATAACATGCTACTAGTACTAATCGAGAGAAAAAGATGTTAAATTACCGATTACTTTTACTAAAAAAACTTCTCACTTAGCAATTAGAAAGTGTCATCATACCTTTGACATCCTCATCTTGACAGAATTTCATTGCCAATGTGGTTTTCCCGCATCCTCCGGCAGCAGTCAACACAAGCATCGAGACATCGTCCTTAAGAAGCATGATCTTCAAATCCCTCAAAGGCTCATCCAATCCAACTGTAACACGTGGAGGTTCAGGAACTGAACCCAGATCATGAAATCCTTCTTGCTTTTGTATCACAACATTCTCTTTGTTTCCTACCAAACCATTCTTCTGGACAGCGGCCAAGGCCTCCTTCGACACGGCCAAGTTCTCCCTCGAAATATGCAAGTTCTCAAACCCGTTCCTTATTCCCTCCACATTCAGTATCTTCAACAACCTGTTTAGACATTTATCCAAATCGAGAAGTTGCTTGGCGTATTTATACTTTTTGAAGCTTTTCCACCGGCTGAGCTTGGAGCACTTGAGAACCAGCCCTTCCCCATCCGCTATTTGTCTCACAATCTTTAACACTTCCTTGTTTGATTGATCCAACACCTTTTTGTATCTCTCTATGTCTTTGATCAGTGGATTTAACGCTTCTAATGTGGAATCGAGATCTCCGAGGAGCTCTCTAAACATCATAGTCTTGTCCTTGACATCCTTAACAACATCATACAGCACACTAAACAATGCTCCTACAGCAGCACCTGCAAAAATTTCCCCAACTCCTCCCATTCCAGCTTCTCTCAAACCGAAACCCGACACCGACAAATCCGAAAACTAACTCGTAGTCATATCAATCAAAACTTGAAGACAAGAGAAGACCATAGCAGTATGAAAAAACCCAAATAAAAATGCTCTCTTGATTCTGCTTCAATCCACTGAATTTTACTTTCACCTACCCCCATTGACTTCCCAAGCAAATTGCAAAGCTGCTTCCTGAGAAACTTCGAATCGGAGCCATTGACTTTGCCATTGACTGACCAAGAATATCACACCTACCTATCACATTCATGGCTTCCGACGAGAGGGTAATTACAATGCATTGATCCAAAGATAAAAAGCTAAAATAAATATTTAAAATTTTAAAAACTACCCTGCAACTAGAATCGTTGATCTGATTGACCCCTGCGTATTTTTGTTTCTCCAATTCTGCGGACGGCAACGCAAACAGTGGTGTGCATGGGTGGATTTCTTGTTTTTTTTCTTTGGAGACAAGGAATCCGCCTACCAGAACCCAATTCCCATCCCTCTCAGAAAGGTGTTGTATTCGATCGCAATCGGATTCGGTCGCAAGTTGGAACCTTTCAGTCGTGTTTTCTTTCTCCCGTCACCGCTCACTTCTTTTCTTAGAAGGAGCTGGTAAAATAACGACGAATTTTTTACCCAAAAAATGTAACTGACTTTTAAAATAATAGTCAATTTACTGGTCTGCCCATCTTTATTTATTATCTTTTATCTTTTGGATCGCTACACCAACAGGGTAAACTTGGAATATAATAAAATTTCCCAAACAAACCCAACTAACTTCGACACAAAACTTTCCACCGAAAAATTTTAGCCCATTTTATCAACTTGGGCCTATAAATTGTTGTCTTAGGCTGCTCTCCTACGAATGAACGAACGGACAAAAGAGTGGCTGAGGATTTTAAGAATAATTGGCTTCTTTTTAGCTACTTTTTTTAAATTCGATTTTAATCTCATTTTATTTTATAAAATTTAAAATTAGTCACTTTACTTTTTGAACTTGATTTTATCTTATTTTGCTCCTTGAAACTCACAAGTTGTCATTTTACTCCCTGTAACTTGATTTTGAACTCATTTTGCTACTTGAAACTCACCACTTTACTTCTTGAAATTCAAAATTCGCTCTGCATTGTCTTGTTTTTGTTTTTTTAGAATAAGTTCATCCATTCAAAATTTATAATTGGTAATATGCCAAATTTCTACTGAAATAAATGAATAGCAAGAAAGAATAAAAAAATTATTCTCTCTCCATCAGCCACCTCATTTAAGAACATAAGAAATAACAAAATAAATGGAACTAATTATAAGGTGACTGGAGATGGAGGGAGAAGGAATGAATGTATTGACAACGATTATAGAGAGAGTGGGATCAAAGAGATGAATCCAATGAATTGTTTTTGCTATTTTTCTTACTTTTCCTTTTTTATAGTTATACAATGTTTGAAAATTATTTTTTCTTTTGTTTTTTGTTTTTGTTTTGTTTCAATCTATGTGGTACTATTTGATTGAATTTGTGAGCTTTATACTCGTGATGTGTTAGCTATACGTGGGCTCTAATTATACCACATAAGTAAACTTAACGGTTATTTAACAAAATTATACATAAAAACTAGCCAAAGTGGAGTGAATATTGAATTTTAGGAAGTAAAGTGACAACTTTGGAGTTAGAGGGCATTGTGAGATCGAAATCGAGTTCCAAGGAGCAAAATCACGATTTTTGAGTTTCAGGAAACAAAGTGGTATCAAAATCAACTTCCAGAAGCGTAGCTAAAAATAAGCCACAATCATTTAGTTAAATCTTTAACGGTAAGACACAAAGATTATAAAACACTGCAAAACTATAAGATACATGCTAAAATCATTTGTCCTCCACAATACATGACAAAAATATCATAAGAGATTCATTTATCACATGCTAAACAAGTACGGAAACCAAAAAACCATACTATACTTCCTATCAATATGAGTACAAAGATTACAACATTAAGAATCGAATTGTAGGGACAAATCAGTGTAATAGAACTATGAGTACAAAATATAAAAAAAAACCCTCAAATTTTAGCTTAGAAGTTTCTTGGCAAAAAACTACCCTCATTTGAACGCTTGTAGATAAAATATGATTTCAGTTCAAATCTTGGTAAAATTTGAATTTGAAGATTTATATCAAAGATAGTAATGATGAATTTGAAGAACGTCAATTAAGTGAGATTATTTTGAAATTTTTTATTTAGGAAAATAAAAATCAAAAAAATTGAAGATCATCAATTGAATGAGATTATTTTAAAATTTTCAGTTCCAAAGGCTCTTCAACGTTTTGATTGCGGAATAAAAATACAAAAATTAAATACTTCAGTAAAATAAAAGAAAATTGACATAAAAATATATTTATAAAAAAATACTGATGTGGAGAAAATTCACGAAAATAACAAAATTTCAGTCAAAGAACTCTGGCTACTAAAAGGTGTCCCCTTCCAAATTGTGTCCAAATTTTCCCCACAAATCATTTTGGCGCGTAAAAAAAATCAGTTGTCATAAATAAACCTTGAAAACACAAAGTAAACTAACTTAACCAACCACGGCCACGGCCACTACCACTGAGCTATGAAATCCTTGAATCTAAAAGTTTCCAGGCATTTTTCTCTGCTATTATTTAACAGAACCCATTCATCATCTTCTCAAACTTCCCAACTAAATAAACCCCAAATTCAGAAAACCTTCTTCAAATCCAACACCAAAGACGCCCTCATAAGCCGCTTATGCAATGACGGAAAATTCAAAGAAGCCATCGACATCCTCTGCCACCAAAGGCGCTTATCAGAAGCAGTTCAGTTGCTCCACCACATAGACAAACCCTCTGCTTCCATATACTCCACCCTCTTGCAGCTTTGTCTTCACCAACGAGCTCTTGCGCAGGGCAAATTGGTCCACGCCCACACCAGAGCCTCCGGGTTCGTGCCCGGGATGTTCATTTGTAACCGTCTTATTGACATGTATGCGAAATGCGGGAGCATTGTGGATGCCCAGATGGTGTTTGATGAAATGCCTGAGAGGGATTTGTGTTCTTGGAATACTATGATTTCTGGGTATGCGAAAGTGGGGCAGCTTGCTGAAGCTAGGAAACTGTTTGATGAAATGCCTCAGAGAGATAATTTTTCTTGGACTGCGGTGATATCAGGATATGTTCGTCACGATAAACCAAAAGATGCTTTGTGGTTGTATAGGATGATGCAGAGGAGCGAGAATTCTAAATCTAATAAGTTCACGGTGTCTAGCGTTCTTGCTGCTTCAGCAGCCATTCAGAGTTTGAGAATGGGGAAGGAGATTCATGGTTATATAATGCGAACTGGGCTGGACTCAGATGAGGTGGTTTGGAGTGCCTTATCGGATATGTATGGGAAATGTGGGAGTATAGAGGAAGCTAGGCGCATTTTTGATAAGATGGTGAATCGAGATATTGTTACATGGACAGCAATGATTGATAGATACTTTGAGGATGGGAGGAAGGAAGAGGGATTTTCTCTGTTCTCGGAGTTGATGAAGTCCGGCATTAGACCGAACGAGTTCACCTTTGCAGGGGTTTTGAATGCCTGCGCTCAGCATGCTGCTGAGAACTTGGGCAAGCAGGTTCACGGGTACATGACGCGGATTGGATTTGACCCCTTGTCTTTTGCAGCAAGTGCACTTGTTCATATGTATTCAAAGTGTGGAAACATTGAGAATGCGAATAAGGTGTTTAATGAGATGCCCTGCCCAGATGTGGTTTCATGGACTTCCCTGATTGCTGGACATGCTCAGAATGGTCAACCTAATGAGGCCCTTCAGTTGTTTAAGTTACTACTTGATTCAGGTACTAAGCCTGATCACATTACCTTTGTAGGTGTTCTTTCCGCATGTACTCATGCTGGTTTAGTTGATAAGGGACTTGAATACTTCCATTCAATTAAGGCAAAACATGGGTTAACGCATACCGCGGACCACTATTCCTGTGTAGTTGATTTATTGGCCCGAGCAGGTCGATTTGAAGAAGCTAAGAATATTATTAATGAAATGCCAATGAAACCAGATAAGTACTTGTGGGCTTCCTTAATCGGTGGCTGCAGAATTCATGGAAACCTCACACTCGCAAAGCGAGCTGCAGATGCGTTGTTTGAGATAGAACCTGAGAATCCAACTACTTATATTACTCTGGCCAACATTTATGCTACTGCTGGTATGTGGGGTGAAGTAACAGAGGTCAGAAAGATGATGGATAAAAGAGGGCTGATAAAGAAACCAGGTTTGAGTTGGATCGAGATCAAGAGAGAGGTGCATGTTTTCTTAGTGGGAGATACGTCTCACCCGAGATATGATGAAATAGATCACTATTTGCATGAGCTTTCGAAGAGGATGAAGGAAGAAGGGTATGTCCCCGACACGAATTTTGTGCTGCATGATGTTGAAGAGGAGCAGAAAGAGCAGAACCTCTCCTACCACGGTGAAAAGCTCGCCGTTGCGTTTGGCATTATTTCTACTCCGCCGGGAACACCGATCAAGGTTTTTAAGAACTTAAGAACATGTGTAGATTGTCATACTGCGATTAAGTTTGTTTCTAAGATTGCTAACAGAAAAATTATAGTCCGGGATTCAAATCGGTTCCATTGTTTTGAGGGCGGGATCTGTTCATGTCGAGATTATTGGTGATTTGACTCACTCATTAATCTGTAAAGCATTTTATTTGAGTAGGATTACAGAAACATTAGCTTAATGTCTTCTGTGCAATCTGGGAGCTTCCCACATTTTGTTCTGAGTGGAAAGAACTAGAATCTGAATTTTCTACATCTTCAACACCCACGTGCAGAGATGATATGATAAATTTTCTCCAATTAACCGCAAACTGAAACCGAAACACGAATCAAATAGGACCACATCAAACAGTTTGGTTTTGCGGTTTTGAAATGGTTTCGATAACCACATTGTAGGAAACGGTTTGATTTTGGTTTTGGCTTTTGAAAACCGCACCAAAACCGAACCTCACTACAAGTATTAATAAACATTTAATTAAATGTTTATATAAGATGTCATGTTTTAACTGGCTATTTGTTAGAGTCCATACATTTAGTATGAACTCAACCACACTAGAATATCATCATTCATCACTTTCTTTAATAGTTGTGTATTGCAAGTTTGTTGTAGGGTTGCTTCAGATAGTCCAAATTTTAGATGAAAATGGATTATCAAAATATCCTCACTCAATCACTTATTGTTGACAGGGGTTCATTAATTAATCTACTATGTAGAAAATAAGACCATTTTATACGTAGATAAGTGTAAATTTTAAATTGTAATTTTTTTTTAAATCGAACCAAAACCATTTAAAAGTATACCGAACTGAATCAAGCAGTTTGGTTTCATTTAATTTTGACTTCAAAACCGCACCGAATCGAACCGTAAAAAATTTCGGTTTTGATTTCACTCAAAACTACACCGAACCAACTGTGCCCACCCCTAACTAATATTGTAGTCATTCTATTTAACTACAAATCATAATCTAACTTCAAAATTAATTATTCAAATTGCAAAACAAAAAAAAATTTATACACACATATCAAACTATGTTTGTCTGTAGGATGAACGGATCCAAACGCAAGTCGCGAATGATTTTCCAACTTATATTGGGATACCGGACACCTCACATGCTCTACATAAAAAGTGATCTAACCCAAACTTCTTCCTACATTATTTCATGCTACACAATAATGTGACCCAATACAAACTCTTTCACTCGACCCTAGAATCCAATACACCTACACGCATTTCTTTCGTACACGATTTACTTGCCCAACTCTTCTATTTCATCAATAAATATGTAATTAAGCTCCAATTGAATAAATTAAAAACTTTCACCTACTTAAATTAGCTGCACACTTGCATCTTAGCAAGAAATTAGGAAGCTAAAGAAAGAACGATGAATGAGGAGGAGGGGGAAAGGAGGAAGATGGTGAAAACTCTCCTTCCCTGTAAAACCCTCTCTTCTGTGTGATTGGTTTCCATTAAGAAAAAGAGTACCAGGTAAAAGATATTTATACAAATACATGGAATTAGATCCTGAAACTATGGCCTATGCAAGCTATTACGTGAGTTAGACTCCTATGTGATTGAAAAGTAATCGGAAATGGACTGTATTGTAATCAAGGAGATGGACTCCGATAAGTTCAATGACGTTTTGAAGATGTCGGCTAGCTATTCCATGGCTGAAATGTGAGATGTCCTAATCATTCCACTTTGAACCTTCTCTTGTACGATGTGTCAGTCAATTTCTACAGTGTCTGATTCTTTTGTGAAAGACCAGATTCAAAGTGGTGTGAAATGCCACTTGATTATCACATATAACTTGACCGAATGTTTCTGTGGCACCATGATTTTCTAGGGTCAGATTAAGAAGAATTGATATACGAATACTTCAGAAGTTTAGTCGTGGACTCAACAGCTTATATCAGACAGAGCTATTAAGTAACAGAGTAGGCAGTGACCCCACAATGCAGATTAACTAGGCCGAGTCATCCCTAGAGTGCAGGGTTTCACGACTTAAAAAATAGTTCCCAATCCTCTCCATCTAATTTAGTGAGATTGAACCACTTAGTACTACGGTTAGTGATATTTCTTTTCACTTGTAAGTGAGAGGTCTCTTATGATCAATTCTTGCCAAAGGTGAATTTGAACCACATTATTGATCGTTCATTGTGAGACTTAGCCTACCCCTCCCTTTTAGTGTAGATAATATTGTTTGTTAAAAAAAAAATTAGTGAGATTAAGAAGCAAATGACTAACAAATGATTTGAGATTGGAATCTAACCAATTTACATGCTTAAAAAGTACTAGTTACATTCACTTGAAGATGTAAAACAAGATCAATAAAACAATTCTGGAAAGCTACATGTTTCACAAGAAAATAAAAACTCGCTCCCTACGTGTTTCAAGAACCAGAGCGCCATAGCCACAAAACTCTAGAGTTTTGGTAGCCAATCCAAGTCCAAAAGAATTAAATGTAGTACAAATGCTTTCATATGGTTTAGCTCTGCGGGGATAAGAGATGCTTGAATTTTGAATTTGCAAAGGAAAAGTTTTTCGCCTATGGAGGAAGCTCTTCCTATGGAAGGGATTTCACATTTGAAAGCCGCTTCTTTTTTAACTTTTTATTTATTTGTAGGTTAGGATTTTAATTAAGTATAAGTGAGATATTTTAAACCTATAGGTTAATTTATCGTTAGATTAATCTGAGGGCTCCTATTAAAGGAGAGATTTTTCAGTATGACCGTTACACAGGGTGGTACACCACGTGTCATTACATAAATAGTGGGATATGTGTGTTAAAAAGTTAATAACTTACAAAATAAAAAATTTCATTACTTATATAAAACATGTGGTGTACCACCCACGTTCCCGTCACAATTAAAAATTTCTCCTATTAAAGAGGACCTCAGACTTTTGGATTGGCATTTTTTTACTAATTTTGGCTTAATTCAATAAGCTTTACATGATTGTGTTGATCATGCATTTGTAAGATTTCTTTGCCCGAACGAATGAAGAGATAGCTAATGACCTCCTCAAGTTATAAGATTGGTTTCGTCTCAACTTTAACTATGACTATATAAAATTTGCACTGTATTAAAAAAATAAAATAAAAAATCTTGTACCAAAGTTTGTGGCTTTAGAATGGTAACATATAAAATCTTCTAACACGAATTGTTGCATAAGAAACCCAAAATTCGATGGTTATTTAAGATGTCCCTCATATATAGCACTCTATGTTCTTCTAAATTTCTCTCGTCTACATTGCTTTCTATTTTATCACCGACGGCAATGATTAGTCTTCCATCATTATTTTTGGCCCATGTTGTTCCCAACAGTTCGAACACTTTATTCCATCACGATGAAGCATCATAAAGCTAATGTACATGTCACTTATTGCTTCAACCAATTCTTTCATACTTGGTGTGGTTTATTTCATAAAATGTTGAATTTGTTCCAACCCCTCCCTAGTCCTATTGGTTATCAACAACCTGTATATCATGTTTGATCAAATGTGGTAGTAGTTCAACTTCAAGTACTGTCATCTGCATATTTAACTTCAAAATAATTAAACTATTGAAATCAAATCAGACAATAATCCATGTTATAATTCAACATAGATCATAATGGTCAACTTGTTATATGACTTCTAAATTGAATCATGACTCATACTGCATGCAACAAAAACAAAGAAATTTTGGCTCGTTTTGCTTCTCTCTCTGTGAGTAAAAGGACGTGAGAGAAGGATTTGAACTTGTAACGAATTTTCAGAATGAGAAAAAAAGACTAGGAATACTGAGTTGGTGTGCAACCAGCTTCTAACATACAATCCAACTCCATTCAAATTCTGATCGCTCCAAAAGAATAATCCAACCAATGCATTTCCCATGCAAGATAATGCAGATAAATTCAAAGGAATTCCACACCTGCGTCCGGCATCTCGTCCCCGTCTCTCTTTTGTACAGTGGCAATGCGTGTGGACCATGTGCATATGGCAATACCACTGTTTTCCTAATTTCTTTTCATCTTTCTGTCTGTTTTCTGGCAAGACCTGAGTGGCACCGAATTAACTTGGGCCATGCAATTGTTGAATATCACATGGGTGACATGATTAGAGGGTCCCTGCCCTACATTTTTAACCTTCTTTAGGTTTAAGTCAAGGATGAAGAGATAATCAAACATTATAATTATAAAAATACAGATAATCAAACATTATAATTATAAAAATACAGATAATCAAACATTATAGGTAACTGGTTAAAAAGGTAAGTTCGCTGCGTGCCAGATGTGCAAGTATGGGGCTGGATGTACCATCACGGAATATGCATTTCTCCAATACATGAGTCATGTCTGCTCTCCCACCTACACAATATCTTGCTTTCCCACAGGGTATCGGTTGACTTTAGCCAACTTTCTAGCTAGCCTACACATATTGAGGATTTGCAGAGGAATTGGGATAAAATCTTGTGCATGCACATGCACATAATTAAACTAGTATTAAATTTTAGAGTCGGTTCACGTCAATATTGTTTTCAACTAAACCATATATTCAATTTTATTGGTATAAAAGTTATATAAAAAGTCTTGCAGTTAGTAACTGAACCACGTATATATGCAGCCCATAAGAAATAAGGGAATGGAACTTCACGAAGTTTCCTGTTTCCCATATATATGGGACAACATTTTCTTCTCGTTAAGCTGAACCAGGTTGTACCTTAATTTAACCCTAATTATGAGTTGGACTCAGCACTATTCAAGTATATCATGCACATGCTAATTAAACCCTAATATATTCTATGTAACATGTTGGAAAAAGCAAAGGGAAGAGGACAAGTCCCGTGAAAAAAATTGAATGGTACTGGTATGTATCTAGCTGCCTCATATAGTCACATATATAAATTGTCTGTAATCAACTCATTGTATGTCTTCCATAGAGACAAAATAATGCTCTCATACTTTAGCAGCATATATGCAAGATCAAATTGATCTAACTGTTATGTACATCGATTATTGTAATGGTTAATTAATACATTAGTTGGTACATTATCTAATCAGCTAATACGTACAATAAAATACTATACATCTTTATGCTACAATCAGTTACACACGCACATTAGTTGAGTATTACAGTTAGAGCTTGACTAAAATTGGCTAGTGGACCCAAAAGGTTTATTTTTTATGCTGCAATTTATATATGTTCCTGTTACAGACCTACTGGGCACGGCCATTTCCAAAGTTGCAGAATTGTTGGAAAAATGGCAGAAAACAATATGATCCGCATGTGACACAAATATCAACAATCACATTGCATTCTCAACAAAACTACCAAACTTTCATAAGAAATAAATATGAAAAAAACAAGTGGGTTACATTTACTTTGCTGAGCAAAGCATTGTTCTTTCATATAGAAGGGGTGTTGGAATCATAAATATACCACCTATCATTATCCAATACTTATGAGAAAACCCTAAACTTTAATGTTCAATATTTATGAGAAAACAAACCCTAAACGAAAAAGACAAACAGACCGAAAGGAGAAAAAGTAAAATCGTTTCAACATCAAGGGCGCAATTAGAGGCGGGTTTATGAACAAGCTCAGTTTCACTTTTTTTTTTTTTTTTTTCATACTCAGTTTCACTTTAGTTGTTGAATGATGGGTTGGGTTTAAACTTGGCTTTCGTCCAAAGCAAATGAGAATTATCATCACGCGAAAACGCGTCTATGCTCCCAATACCAGAACATTGATGGTTTTGAAAAAGCGGATTTTATTTTTGAACAGCAATTTTGACAACATTGATCGGTGAATTTTAGTTTAATTTGTAACTTTAGTTTTTAAACTAAAAACTTGTGAGTATTGAATTTTGAATATATCAAAATGCGAACAATGGTAATTTTGAATAACACATTCGATTGAAGTGTTCTGACGGTTGAATTTGTCAAAATACGAACAATGGTAATTTGAATAACTTTATTAAAAAATTTGTACTTTATATGTCCCTTTAAATCCATTTTAATGAAAATTCTAATAATATTACCCAAAAGGATGATTAAACATTGTCACAACTTCAATAATCGATAACTATGACTTCTTAGTTTTTAAACTAAAACTCCAATTAAACCAAAATCGAAGACAAATGTAGATATTTTCTCCTTAAAAAAATTGAAGCCAAAGGACATATCTGGTGAGGCACTTTTTCCCGCGCTGCTGCTATAAAAGGCTGTCACCAACCACTCCTCCACCCAATGCCACCCAAACAAAAAGAGAAACAAATAAATTGAATAAAACCCAACTCTGTGGTTTCTGGAAGAGCATTTTGCAGGGAGAGCAAAAATGGAGCAAAAAGCAGGCTTCTTGCTCCACTTGGTTTGTGGGGTTTTGGCAGTGCTTCTGAGTTCTTCTGTGGTGAAGGCAGAAGACCCATATAAGTTCTACACTTGGACTGTGACTTATGGGACTCTTTCTCCTCTTGGTGTTTCTCAACAGGTTTGTGGGTTTTTGCCATTTTTGCAATCTCAGTTTTATATTTTGAGCTTTTAGGTTTTTCTAAAATTTGGTTCTTTGTTTTTGGATATTTGAAGGTAATTCTCATCAATGGCCAGTTTCCTGGCCCTAGACTTGACGTTGTCACCAATGACAACATCATCCTCAACCTAATTAACAAGCTGGACCAACCTTTCCTCTTAACCTGGCAAGTTCTGCATCCTCCTATCCACTTCTTGTCCTTTTCTTTTTATTTATAACTGTTTTCCATTGTTTTTAGATTAAGAGCTTTCATTTGCTGAAGAATGTTGTTTCAGTGTCTGGTTAAAAAAATTGCTAGTGGCCTTCAGGGGCATATTTTTCCATTTAATTCATGTTAAGCTTCAAAGGATTAGAAGGGCAATTGTACGAATTTAAGCCAAATTGCTGCATTAGGCTTACTTGTGTGGAGAAATTTGTTCCCAGATTTTAATTAATGAGAAATCTGAGCGTGAATATTTTGTTGAGTATTGCTTTCCCTTACATTTGTCTGCAACCGAACGAAACAATTACGTACTTCGTCTTTCAGGATTAGACGAGATTAGCTCTTCATTTCTGTTCTTTTGTTCAATATCTGAATATTTGGCTGTGACATTCATTCTAATAATATATTTCTTTGTTCATAACCAGGAATGGGATTAAACAGAGGAAAAACTCATGGCAAGATGGGGTTTTGGGAACCAATTGTCCCATCCCGCCGAACTCAAACTACACCTACAAGTTTCAGACCAAGGATCAGATAGGTTCCTTCACATATTTCCCATCAACTCAATTTCACAAAGCTGCTGGAGGGTTTGGAGGGATCAATGTCTATGCAAGACCTCGAATCCCAGTCCCTTATCCAACCCCTGATGGAGATTTCACTTTGCTTGCTGGCGACTGGTACAAGATCAGCCACAAGGTAAGAAAAACATATGACTGCCATTCTACATGTACTTTGAAAGTGTTTGTAAGGGGATTTGTATGTTAACGTACTTAATGTTCTCATTTTGTTTTGATTTTTGCAGTCCTTACAGCAATCTTTGGATTCCGGAAAATCTCTTCCTTTTCCTACCGGTGTTCTTATAAATGGCCAAACTAGTAACACCTTCAGTGGTGACCAAGGTAATTCTCAATCTTTGATTCCTCAAACACTTGAACTATTCTTAGATCTCTGGGGAACTAGTTTAACAATTTACTCAAATGATTAATGCTCAACTATGTTTTTCGTATTATGATTTCAGGAAAAACATATATGTTCAGGATCTCAAATGTCGGCTTGTCAGCCTCGTTGAACTTCCGGATTGAAGGTCACAAACTGAAGTTAGTTGAATGCGAAGGATCTCACACAATTCAGAACATGTATGACTCCCTTGACATACATGTTGGCCAATCAGTCTCTGTCCTAGTAACCTTAAATCAGGCTCCAAAGGACTACTACATTGTCGCATCCACACGATTCACTAGGCTTGTTCTTACGGCTACTTCAGTGCTACACTACACAAACTCGCACACCTCCGTTTCTGGACCTGTGCCGGCCGGTCCTACTGGCCAAATACACTGGTCTATGGAGCAAGCCAGAACTTTCAGGTATAAATATGTGAAATTCAAATATGATGAGCCTTTGTTCGATTATAATGATTTAGTTTGATCCTTTTGAACATTGTTTTTCTTACAGGTGGAATCTGACAGCAAATGCAGCCAGGCCTAATCCTCAGGGCTCATTCCATTACGGCAAGGTCACACCGACAAAGACAATTGTGTTAGCCAATTCAGCGCCATTGATAAATGGAAAGCAGCGTTACGCATTCAACAGGGTCTCTTATGTTAACCCCGATACCCCTGTAAAGCTTGCTGATTACTTCAACATCCCTGGAGTCTTCAGCTTAAATTCCATCCAAACCACTCCCTCAGATGGCTCTGCATCCTTAGCTACCCCTGTTATGCCAGTCTCACACCACGACTTCATTGAAATTGTTTTCCAAAACAATGAAAACAGTGTCCAATCCATGCATTTAGATGGTTATGATTTCTGGGTTGTTGGGTATGTCAAATGTGCTCCTTTCTTATGCTTAAATTTTTACAAAATCAATGGGTAGACTATAATCTTTATTGTTTGAACAAATGCAGTTATGGTTCCGGACCATGGACTCCAGCCAAGAGAACAACCTACAATCTCGTCGATACTCTTACTAGACATACTGCTCAGGTAAATAAAGGCTGTTACTGATTAATATTTGGTTGTTCAACTTTTCGTTAGCTAATTTAATCTTTTTGCTCTTTGAAGGTGTATCCAAACTCTTGGACAACTATTTTGGCGTCACTGGACAACCAAGGTATGTGGAACTTGAGGTCTGCTATATGGGAAAGGCAGTATCTTGGGCAACAGTTCTATCTCAGGGTTTGGAATCCAGTCCAAAACCTTGCTAATGAATACACCATTCCTTCAAATGCTCTGCTGTGTGGAAAAGCTGTAGGACGACACACATAAGGTGACCCTTGATTCTTCGGAGTCTGTTTTCTTGAGTCATGAAGGTTTGGCTAAAGGGAAGACAGACAGCAAAGAAAGCAAAAGAGAAGATTCATATTTGATGTTTCTTTTCCCTTAGTTGTATAACTCTAAATTTAGATGAATTTTCGTCTGCATTTTTACAAAAATTTATTGTATGCTACGGTTATATAATTTCTCTAGATATATAGAATTTAAGGTCTAAACTTTGCTTCTCTTTCTTCCTGTTTTTCATCATTTTGGTAACGTCGGTTTAGACTTGCAAGTTCAGTTTCACTCAACACTTTCAACTCTGATGCACCAGCAAATCCTGTCATATTGTTCAAAAAGAAGAACTAATCATCTGTCACATTAAATCCTTTTTAATTTATGACTAATACATGGAACATGATAAGTAAGGTGGTCATGAATCATGAACATGATGAGCATTATTGCTCTTTCTCTAATTGACAAAAACAAATTATACAAGAAGTCTGTTCTTATTAAAAAGCAAGTGTGCACCGGTAATGTAAAAAATATATCGACAATATGTTAGTTTTTTTTTTTTTTTTTTTTTTTTGTTGGTAATAATGACATTGACACATTTCTAATATAATATCAAAAATCCTTTCTTCACGTCCGTTATAGAATGGAAACTTGGTCTCAATCTCCTAACCAAATATAGCCCAACTGATTACGAATGTGAGTAATTAAAAAGGAAATTGTTTCCTAGTGCCAATGCTTTTTGCAGATCTCTGGCCCGAAGAAGAGAGTTGAGCTGGACGTGGGATAGATGATGGTTCACAGAACGGTACAACTAAACTATTACATGTATGGTGGGTTTAATAAGTATTCCGATTTGTTTATTTACAAAGTTTATTTGAATTCAAAAATAATTCACTTGATCAGAATTTGGATACGATGCTTACAAGTACTTAGTACAACTACCATATAATGATCAGTAATATTGTAATGATTTTCAAGAATTACATCTAACAATCAAATAATAATTGTACTAAATACTTTTGAGTATTGTAACTAGTCCATTGAAATAATCACATTAATTTTTTTGGAACTTTATATTAACTATATGAATGTAAATTGCTTGGCGCCAAGAGATAGAGCGAGAGTTAAAGTAATATTGCTTTGGCGTAAATTGCAAGCTTCTGTCTTATACTAATTGGTTATGAATGTACACAGAAAGAAGCTTAAGAACAACGAGAGAGCGAGAGTAATTGGATTCAGAGTAAAAACGCATATCATGGATTGGCCACATGATGAGAATTGAATTTCACGGGTGTTGGAATTGAGTTCCACGCAACATGCGTAATTTGAGCAAAAAGATGATGATGTTCTTGTTTTCCCTATGAGATCTCTCCTTGGATCCATTGCCAACTCTACTGTAAAAGATGAATTGCCCATCAAAAAAGCTTTTCATTGACTTTATACCACTAGACCAGCATACGAGGTGGTACACCACGTGTTATTATACAAATGGTGGAATATGTGTGTTAAAAAGTTAATAACTTAAAACATAAAATTTCTCACAACTTACATAAAAACACGTGGTGTATCACTCGCGTTCCCGTCACAATAAAAATAAATTCCTAGGAGTCGAGGAGGCCAGGTGTTCATACTTGCATTAAATATTCTACGAGGGATTTACAAGTGCCAATGGACTTCAAAACAATAGGATTGAGAGTGGAACTTGTAACAAGAGGAATATAACCTGTTTGGATTGCTTTTGTTTTGTCAGTTGAATTCTTTATCAAAATCGTTAATTTTCGAGGTCACTCTTAAATATAAAAAGCATTTGACATTTGATTAACGGTGTGGACTCGATGTTTAATTAAAACATCGGGTTTGTTTATTTTGTTTGCCTCCCTAGTCTTTTTTTTTTTTTTTTTTTTGTAGAGATAATATGTGTTCATGGGTGGCCTAGCATTATCCATGTATATCCTTGTACAATATAGCTAAATACAACCAAATAATGTCATAAAGAGATACTTCCCAATGTCGTAAATTATTAATGCGTGTTGGATTATCAATTTGTTTATTTATTTTTTGGCACAAAGGAAACAACATCCTTATACATGTATTTTTCGCTATCAATGACTTGTAATATTTTAAGTGTCAAACATATTTTGTATTAATCTACTATTAGTCTCAAAGAGTATGATGAGGCTTCCCATTTCTATTTTGTACTTTTCTCACTAAATCAAATCCAGTCTCCATACCAACTCGGACATATATATTAGGTTTAGGTCGTTTAATTCTTGAAGATGAGAACCGATACAATTAACTAAATTTCAAAGAGTAACCCTAGCTATTCTCATCTCTCGAGAACCTCGTAGGTGTTGCATGCATTGTCTGCCAAAACCAATTTACGTGTGAGTAGTTAAATGATACGTACGGTTACTAATTTACATTTTATAAATTAGATTAATTAAAAAGTTGATGTGCTAATATTTATATATAAATTCATGTGTTATAATATGATCAATAACACATATTAATATGATAATCACAATAACCTTTTTAAAGTGAAAATGATCGAATTAAAAGTTGCATGTGACAATAAGAGATTTTCTTTTGCAACCAATGCATAGTCTTAGTAGCATCGTTCGTAAAAAAAATGTTAATCACGTTCAAAACGTGAATCCTTTGTCCAATAAAAGCTGCCATATGGCATATTCGTTTGCACCAGAGTATCTCTTCGTGACAAGAGTATGTTGGTGGGTTCGAGACTGAAGAAGCTCGAGTTGCACCTTTCGACTGTCAACGGCCAACAAGGGGGAAAGAAGGGGCCAGGGACTCGTAGTTTGTGAAGAAAAACAGATGACAACGGTGGAAAATTGACCACTCTACCCTTCCATTGTCTTTGGTTTTCTGCTTGTTTTCATCACCATTGTGGGAGTTCTGAGTGAGTGATCAAAGAACTCTTTTAATTCAACCACAAATATCAGTTAGGTTAGGAAATCTAAGATATAAGGTAGACTTTGGATGCGGTTCTTAATTATGAATATTCTTTGATTGAAACCTTGTTGGTTTTTAATTTTTGATCGAGGTTCCTGAAATTAATGTGATAATTTATTTCTATGTACGTTACTATATTTTTAAAATTAAAAATTAGAAATTTTTGTTGTTGATATAAATGAGATTTTAAATATAAAAACCATAATTTGTGGGATTAAAAATATTAAAAAATAAATATACTATTGTGTGTGTGTGTGTATAAACATGGGTACATTCATCAAAATTAACCAAACAATTTATTGTATCAAAACATGGGTACATTCTTCAAAATCACAAAAAAAAAGAAAAGATATTAGGCGTAATAATATTAGTAAATTTCTTCGATTAAACTTAACATCGATACATTTTAAAATCAAAGAAAAAAGAATGTACCTGTTGACCCTAGAAATTACAAAGCCTACGTGGCGCGCAGGCCGAATATATTCTAAGCTAACTACGTCCTTCGGTGATTGCGGGGCGTGCCAACTCGTCGGCCGAGGCTCGGCCGAGGAGTAAATTTGATGATGCTGCGTTGGGTCGCGCTACTGACTTCTGCGTCTTGCGATTGCGGCCGAGAAAGGAACGCGTCTCGGCCTCTTGGGTTCTCGAGCCTGAAGACCAGGCTGCTATTTCTTACAAAGTTCACGAACCGAATTCGGCTTGCAATGTGCCGAATGTAATAACTGTAACACCTCACCTCGCCGAGAAGGCTAATGAGATGACCTCGACCAACAAGGATTCGAAAACCCTTCTCGACCGAGACTTGGATAGGCAACCGACCGTTCTCGCCGCAGTGCTGTTGATGCCAACGGAAGATACTGCGAGACCGACCGACTCTACGGTGACAGAGCTATCTATGCCGACTTAAGATATCACTGGTTGCTTCCACAGTGCTGTTGATGCCAACGGAAGATGTGTCAGCGAAAAAGGAAAAGAAAAAAAATCTCAAGTTGTGAGAGTTTTCGCAGGGCAATTTTTGTGTTGATTTGCAGGGGATCCTTTGAATGATGCACTGCCTCTGTATTTATAGAACCTGATGTGCTTGCTTGCCGTGGCCTGATCCTCTAGCAGAGTTTGACTTTAATCCCAACTAAACAAGCGAGAACCCATCCTTTAGCAGAAAAATACGTAACCTGATTATCACCATTTTCCAAAAAGCCTATTTTTTCCTTTCTTATCCTTTGGATGCACTCCACGTGGTCATCATGATAGGCTAAAACCTATCACCTACTTACTTATCTGACAAATTTGTTTGACCAAATAGGCAAATAAAATAATATTCTTTTATTATCCCTTCAAGGCCCATCTGATCATGCCATCCCATTCTTCAAGACTAATTTGATTACGCCAAGTGTTAATCCCTGGACGTTCTGTCAGCAAACCCCAATTAATTCGAAACTCTGTTATTGCTTCTAAATTGGAGATAATCTGAAACTCATGTATCCCGTATAAGAAAATGTCAAAATAATTCACCATTAAAAGATAATACCATGATTAAAACCATAATATATCCTTTAATAATAATTATCTTAACTACTCTGTCATCCAACGGTTAAGAGCTATGTTCATCAACGGCCTTAGTTGCACAAGCCGATAGTGTAAAATCGGGTCCAAACATTGCCCCCCAATTTCCTTGAACTTCGGCCCGAAAGCCGAATGGTTAAGGAAATTAGCACAGTCGAATAAATATATGGTCGAGGAATCCACTCAATAGCCTGACACGTCTTGGAAGAGACCCCGACTGCCGAGGTCGAGGTTGATAAAAGCCGTTACTGGAGCTCGGCCTGCCTATATATACACATCTATAAAGTAACCTGATTGTCTGTTGTGATCAACCATGCAGTTGGCATATATACGCACAGCATCCTTCCTTCTTGGTAGTAGCACCCAGAAGCAAACTATATATATATATATATATATATATGTATATATATATATATATATATGTATATATATATGTATATATATATATATATGTACAGTCATAAACCCAAATCCTGATATGATGCTGTCTGCCATGCACATCTTTATCACATCTAGGTCTTAGGCTTAAAGCCTATCTTCAAACGATTTGACCTTTCAAAGCCCCATACTTCATTATTTATAAATTATAAAAATATATATATACCATGCCCCTTTATGTATATTCAACCAATGTGAACAGAGCCGAGACTGTTTGCAACCACACCATCAAGTCTAGGGCTTAGGCTTAAAGCCTATCCTCAAA